AAAAAGAGGGAAGGCCCCCCCAGCCACAAAAGTGGCTGGGAAAGGGGTATAAGTTCTCCTGAGTTCTCAAGAGAAGTCAGTAGGCATGAGATCAAGAGAACTGAGCAGCCTACAAAGTACCAGATGTGGACAGGGCAAAGAGAGACCGCTGCCAACATTCCCAACTCCTTTGGGGTGAAGAAGTGCACTTTCCTTTCTCTCATCTTCCTATTCTTTATGCTGGCATACTCTTCACCTGCACACTGCTGCTACCCTCCTTCTGTGTTCAGATATTATAAGAAAGATAGCATATTTCTCCCATAGATCTATATTGATGTTGTGGCCTGCATGATGTGTAGGCAGTAAGAGAAAGAGAAACTCAACAATTCTCCTTTCAACTACTTCCAGAAACCCCAAACCTAAACCCAAGCAGGCACACTTACCTCTCTGAAAACAAACTTCTGGTTTTCAGGAATATTGTGGACATTTTCCTGACACAAATACATAGTCAAGTAGTCAGTCCCCGAATCAAGTGCTGCACAGACTTCTGGCTGTCGGGTGTTGTAACGTATTTCATTATGGGATGTGTACTCGAAAAACTACAACCCAAAAGAAGCAAAGGTCAAGAGTCATATCATACGTACACAACAAAGTATTTATAAGGAGGCTATACTAAGATACTGTAATTAAGTTCACATATTAAAGTTGCCACTGTGAAGAGGAATTCTGCCAAAAATATTCAAGGAGCCTCAACTTCTGCCATTTGCTAACTATTTTACAGAAAATCTATCTTAGCACAGCACTGCTTTTTTCTGGTAGCACTTAAAATGTATGAATTGCTGAATGAATGCCCTGGAAAACAGACGTTCCAGCATTAAAGGACTTACAAAATGTGACTGTAATATTCTACTTGCGCATTCTAGATAACACTTAAAAATAGGACAGAAAACAGCTTATAGCCTGACATTTTGCCTTCTTAATTCATTTGTTGCAAAACAATGCTACTTTTAATTAAGGAGTTGCTCACTGCATAGTTCATAGCAGTTTGGTCAAGGTTCATTTCCAATTACAAAGTAATTTGCAATTAAAAGAGGCAGGGTGATAAGCGTTTTATTATATAACATTTTAAGATATTATTTGAAGCAAATCAGCTACAGTTGCTTTTAAACACAAACTTTATTAAAGACAATTCACTAGCTTTGCTTGATGCACAATATTCTACAAAGGTGTTCTGAACACGCTCTAAAGCATTTTGGCTTCTGCAGCAATCATGGTTGAAGACTTCCCTAAATTTTTATATTTATCGTGGACATATGCCAAATTTTGTACCTCATTAAAGAGCGGCAGGGCCTGAGAGTTGTTTGTATTTAGCATGCTTGTAAATAATTTAAATGGCTATAGTGCACGGATGTGTGTTTAGATCCAATTTAGATTATACTCAGTAGAGTAGAGGAGAGTTTTATACACATCAGAAAATTGCTTGTTACCAATAGTATAGGTGCATTAAGGGAAATCGATAGAAGGATGAGGGACAGAAGGAATCCTCTTCTGTTTTGTTTCACCCCTGCAGAAATAGACTGTAAGGCTTTGTGAAGGGGGCTATGCCAATTCAGAAATACTGTGTGTACTTGAACTTAGTGCAAAACCATCCTTAGCAACCACCAAGGCTAATTAACCTTGAAAGACAAACTAGAAATGGAGTTTTAATGTAAACAGAACTGTGTGATTACAAAGTCTGCAGTCATCCACTTCCAGGTGTAAGAGCTCTGTTCAGACCATGCGATGGTAGTCGTTTCGTGAAATCTGCCCCTTCTTTTAACACAATCAGGAATTTCTCTGCCGAGTTGGCTGTCGCAGCCATACTCAGACCAATGCTGCCCACTGCATCACAGGTTTTTTTTTTTTGGCTGTGGTGCAAGTGACTGACCCCCTATAATTAACCTGTTTGCCACCATTCATTTGTGGTATGCCACAAAGGGAAGTGAGTGTTTCAGGAAAGCAGCTTCACCCAGGAGGCTCTGATTTCACCTTGTAACCTCCTGCTAGGACCTGTTCTATGATGTAGGCTGCACTGCCTTCGTGACATTTGCTTTATGCCAGAAATGTCTCATCATCAAGAGAAGTCAACTGTGAGAATATTGGCCCAATATTATTATTATTTACCCTAATTGGCAGGGGTTATTCCCTGGCCTTCAGGCTTGGTTCCCATGTTCAGTATCTGACTGGCACATGGAAAGCCTACTACTTCAGGCACCACAGTGAGCTATAAAGGCACTCACAACTTGTGAATAAAAAAAAAGCTTCAATCCTGCTCGTTTGTGTCTGGATGGACACTTTTTTACAGCTGCCACTTTTACAAGGCCACATGTAGAGCCTTGCTCATTAGTAGATTTATTAGATATAATAACTCTTTTTAGCAATTTGCATTCAGTATCAGTGAAAGCCTTTAAGATGCTGATTGCACCAGATGCATCAAGAGTAGACAGACCAGCTACTAGGACAGAGTGTTCCTTACTACTGACAGCTTTACTGAACGGCCTCTGAAGGACTTGCACCAGATTTTGGAGTAGAAGAGCAAGTAAAATGGTTATTTCTGGATAACATTAATGTTATAATAACAATAATAATAATGTTATTTCTGAATAACATTAAGGATTAGGGTTGTATCATTAGGAACCAAGGACTCCTGCCTCCTTGCCCAATGAACATTATACGGTTCTTTAACCTACACTTCTTCAAATGAAATAAATACTTCAGGCTTTTTGAAACTCCAGTAATACATGAGATAGATTTCTTTGTCCTCAAAAGATAAAGCGTTCTTTAGTGCCCTTTCCTTGCCCAGTTGGTTCTGTGGACAGAAGCGAAGCATTTTCAAACTCATCCATGGCTCAGCAACTAGTAGCTTTACAGCATTTCTTTGCTTCAGAGAACCAGCAGACTTAAGGGAAGTGCTACTGGGAAACTTCATGAGGCCTTTTTCCTCGTCCCTATTGCTTCTGGGTGACCTATGGGATATGCCCCAGCTGCATCAGTGCTCTGCAGTACAAGGAATGGAGGCAGATTTCAGCTACCTCACCAAACTGTGTGACCCACTCTCATCTTTCTCTGTGCCTGGATACTGCTCTTCTGCACATATGAAGAATTTTGCACTTGATGGGTACAACCAGCAGAGAGGTTACCAGGTCTGATACCACTTTCACAGAAAACCCAAGGGCTTTGCTAAGTTCTTCATTTGCCTCTCCCTATTTGCCTCAAATCTATCAGCTGAAAATGGGAATATTGGAGGAGGTACTGCCAGACAAAGCAGACTGCTCAGTGGTTTCCCATCCCCTTACCACATCATATCAGCTTCCTGCCATCATATGTGGGTGCCCTTCATACTGTTTGCCAGCCATACCAGGAAGGGCAATGGGCTTTATTGGTGTTGAATTTCAAAGCCTTCATTCTCATTTACTAGGGTCAGACAATTCCACAAAACGTCAGCGGCCTGAGGTGCAAGCACCAAATAGCCAGTGTTTTGTGTATTTTCTGTCTCCTTTCCATATACACACAGGTCCTACCACAGCAGTTGTATCCTCATCTTCTTGCAATAATGAACTCGCTAATTTTAAACAACCTACTTTCATAACAAATCCTTACACAATGGCAACTCAAAAGGACTGGAAGGAATAGTCTCACTTAGGCCATGGATTCAAGGAAAAATAGCAACAAATTACCAGGGACCTTAGTTTTCTGAGAGTGGTTTTAGTTACTGAGACATAAAATGGGAGCAGGTGCTGGACTTTATAAATAATCAAGAGCACAGAGCTCTCTCCTCTCAGCACAGTGCACACAGATATTCAGAGGTCACTTTAAGTGGAGAATTGCTTCCAGTGAAAAGAGCTTTTGCAGTTGTCCCTACATACACAGCCACCTGCCACTAGCACATCATGCCAGAGGATGGGTGTACTGGAGTGTAAGGCACATATGTCTGATCAAGTTAACCTTCATTAATGTTAAATCCTATCACGATGTTTTTTGATAATAACTTCACTGAGCTGTACTCTGGAGAATACATGTCATTCCTTCATACCAGTGTGAATGTGCAGCAGGGAATACTATTTGAGGAAGAAAGTGATGAATCGTGGAACAACTCTGCAACGAGAAGAAGGGATGAGAAGAAGACTAGAGGATTCATAATAGGAGCTAGCTAGGAAAGAAGAAAGGCATGTGAAAAGGAGCAAAACATGACCTAGTGTGGGTAGTAACTGGGGGGAAGAATAAGTGAGAGAAGAGACAGAGACAGTACTAGAAATAGACTGTGAGGCAGTCAGCATGGAAAAGGAAGTGTTAAATAGCATGGAGTGAAGAAACTGCAGCTGTCTCTGATACATGCTGCTGGACAGGGGACTACATGGAAGCTTTGTAAGGTATAGAGCTGTATATAGGTAATGAGTGATGACAGCAGACTGGAGGAGAGCAGGCAGAAGAGCTTGGCATTAGGATGGCAGATACCCTTCCAAAGATGAAACAGAAGTTAAGGGCTACCTGCTGTCAGCAAACACCTGTGAAATTCTGAAGTGCCCTGCTCATCTTAACATAACTTGAAGATGACCAACCTGGTCACAACCACTTCCATCATCTGACAGCGGTGGAGGTACATGTGGGACATTTGACTGTTTCAATCCTACCACTGTCACCTGCCAACAGAGCTAAAGAATTCACATCACCAGAAGCAGCCTCCTACCTTTGCAAAACGACTGTCAAAAGGTGGGGGCCAGGAAGGAAATAATAGAGAGAAATGTCCTGCTGGTAGGTTTCATGGCTATTTGTGAGCTAGAAAAAGAAGGTGCAAATTCAGCAACCCTAACTCCCATTTCCTATCTCACTTGAGCTTCTATGCCTTGTCTTATTTTAGCCTTCCTCTATTCCCATACCTGCAGTTCTTCCTGCCATCCACTTGTCTTGCAACTACTACCTGTCACCCCTACTCATGCCCCCATTTGCCAACCAGTATCTCTGTCCCTTTCCACTAAAAGGGTCCCCAGTGATTCTGCTTGTTTCATGCTCCCTCCTTGTCTTCCTGTGTCACCTTGGCGCCCTTTCCCTGGCTCCTTTCAGCCCTCTATGCCTTTTTCCCGTTTCCTGTGTTTGGCCTTCCCTCCTCAGGCTCTGCAATTCTCTCGTGTCATCTCCTATTCTCTTTCAAGAGTTTATATTGCAGTCAGGCGGTTTCTCCATTTCTCCTGCTGCCGGGATGCCAGCAGAGGGAGCGCTAATTGCACCGCTCCCACAGCATCGGTGCGCTCAGACCCGTGCTGCTACCGCAGGTGCGCCGCACCATCAGCGGGGACATCAGTGCATTAATATCCAGTAATGTGGTATCTTTGCAGCAAATTCAGTTAATCTTTCAGTGCTAGCTAAACAAAGGATAACTGTAAAAGTGTCATCTCATGACAATTCATCTCTCAGTTCACTGGTCTTTTGCTTTCATCTTTTGTCCTATGTATTTTTACTTTGTGAAAGGGATAAAATTTAAATAAACTGTTTTTCTCAGAAAAATACAAAGAGATTCAACCCCTCTTCTCTCTGTAATCTATAATACAAGGAAAAAAAAATCTAGAAGTACCTTTTGTGTGTGATTGTGTGTGAGTATGTAATCCCATACTTGAAATACTTCTTCATCTACAAAAGCAGTCAACTCTTCCTCATAAGGAAGTGGCTTAACTCAGTTGTCTGATTATCAATTTATCTTCTATATAGGTGCATACACGTGTACTTAACTTGTGTATGGAGCTGAACTGGAAGAGTAAAATGGGGTGGGGTGACTTGGTGTGCTTGACATACATACATCTGTCAGTACCGAGATCCTTCGGCTTTTATGATGCAAGATTCTCTGCCTGCCCTGCTCTGCATCTTGGTCTTCAGGGTAGAAACATTAAGAAAGTTAAGACATAAACTAATACATAATACTAAAAAATAGCAAAGTTTGTTGCTAGTTCTTAAGGCAACAAACTTGCTACCAATATCAAATCTATTTCCTTCTAAGATCCAAAGCACAGTGTTCAGACTTTTTCCTTTTGTCATTTAAAATGCAATTCATATTAGAAGCTTCTTTCTTAATACAGATTTGCTTTCCACTCCTCAAGCTTGTATATATTTATAAAGCAAGGTTCAGAAAGATAACAGATACACTGCTTAATCTGCCACATCTCTGGTTCTTTCCCAAACTTGTTTTTCCTTTCCTAACTAAATGTTTGGGTTAATTTTCCTTAAAAAAAAAATCCCAACGAGTAAAGCCACCCAAGCTGTTACAGTGTTACATACTTACCCTCAAGACCCTAGCTATTTCTCCAACCCTCCCCACTAGAAGCATGCCATATAGTCTAATCTGGGTTAGAAGCCAAAAATAAAGCTAGATAGGGAAGTACATGTTACATGCCACAAACCGCCAACCCTTAATTCTAAAAAGCGGCCACTCAAAACCATGCAAAACAGCAACTCTACAGTGGCACATGGTGCCCATAAACACTTTTACCATGGCATTATGAAAAGAGCTTTATGGGTATCATAACTAACCACTAACACATACACTTTCAATCAGCATGGAGAAAGGCAACAGCAAGCATTTTCAGCTTCAGAAGTTAAAACCAAGAAAAGAACAATGAAAGTGCCAGAGGGCATCCCTGTCCCCCAGGATTCTGGAGCCCCAGCCCAAGATGATACTTCTCCAGGGTGGAGTTCAGGAGAAGATGCTGTCCAAAACCACTTGCACAGTTGAGACAAGCACGAACAGGAAAAGACATGATGACTGACACAGGCAGAACTAGGTAAGGTTTGCAATACCATTAAGGGCTTTGTAGACATGGACAGAAAAAAGCTCAGAGATGTGCTGGTCTGCCCAAGGCCAGCTGGAGGTGAGCAAACACTGGCCTAATAAGCACTACAGCTGCACTGCTGTGCTATGAACTACTGCTAATGAGCTTTGTGGAAACACATAATTAAGGTATGCATGAGTTCCCTCATCTGGGTAGACACATCTTCAGAATGAAGAAAATCTGACCTGGAGATACATCAAAATTACAAGCATTCAGTGCAAGAATCAAAATTAGATCTAAAATTACCTCATTGTGGCAACATATTCTCTCAGCACTACTGCAATGCCTATACTATACTTTTTTACATTACAACAGTGTTAGTCAAAATGAAAGTAAAACATAAATCTTACCTGATTTTGTCCCATGCCATGACATGGGTACAGTATGATCCTGTGTCCGGTTACTTGATGTTCATTTGTAGGGTTATAATCAAAACAGAAGTTTGCCATTCCTCTATTCTTCAGCTAATCAAAACAAAAGAATATTTTAAAGTATTAAACTAAAGTAAGGAAAATAAGCTGTAGTCACTTTACACCCATCCTGCTGGGCTGTGAGGTTTATATCCTAGAGCTAGTGCAAATTAACTGGAATAGATCACATGGATCCAATGGAAACATCTCTCTGATCAATGTGAAATAAAACTATTGGGACCATCTTGACTTTGGACATTGAAGCAGCCAGGCTTCCCATAGGAATGACACCGTGTTCCTGTGTATTTGCAAATGAAGTAGGTAGGAACTATGAAAAGCTGTGCCGAAATCCAACAATCCAGCAACTCACAGGGAACAGAAAAGTGAGCCATGTCCTCACCCCCCCACCTCCCCAGATGTACTTGTTCAGTTTTTGTTAAGAAGACTACATACTTTTCCGAGTTTGACAAATGGGAGACATTACAAGGATTTGTTCTCAAAAGGACTCCAGTACCCCCTTGAGGTTGAACAAGCAGACAGATTTTAAGACCGATTTTAAGAACAGTATCTTACATCTCAAAGTGGGTAAGATACATCTCTGGAGACAGACACTACACATGACATTAAATATTCTTTACCAGTGTTGCTATCTCTGACACAAGGGGTGCATAACTTTTAGACTAAATTCTAAAATATTAAGCTACCTGATTTTAAAAACATCAGGCTAATTAACAGGGACTTGCATTTAAGTAGTCAGGAGGCAAAAGTAACTGAAAATAAGTTAAACAATGCCATAACAATTACTGACTCCTAGTATTAGCCACTTAACCGAATTTAAAATTACACAAAGCAAAAGAGGTTCTGTAAGCATAAGTTCAAGCTGAATGCCCCCGGTACTGAGTGTAATTATATCACAGACAAAACGAATAAGCACAGTAAATTTCAGAAGCGTTAGCTCAGCAAGGTGTAATTTCACTGCTCTTCCCTAGTCATGATAATTGCATCCTCAGTTCTCAATGGGGAGAATGGATGGACACGAAGGGACTGCAGAAGGCTAAAACCAAACAAACAAGACAAACCCTGTAGGACCCAAACCCACCACAGAGCAAACCCCACAAGTTGGAAAAATAAATATTTCTGTTCTACATATATTTTGCTTTCCCAACCTCTGTTTTTATTGCTAACTGTAGTCTTCTTTCCACTCTGCTAAACGACAGCGGAGCTCTCAGTGCTCTGCATGCCTGGGCTGCTGGCCCAAGGCAACAGTAATACAGAGGGGCTTGGGAGGACCACCAAAGACTTGGGGCCCCTTGCAGGGCTGCTGAGGCTGCGAGGCTTTCCTGTCAGAGCCAAGTGTATAAATGTAGGAGTGAAGCCCTTCCCTTAGAGGCTTTGCTTCTTAATTCCTCTCTGGAGATGTTTCCACTAGCATTTGGTGGAACTTTTCAGTACAGGATAAACCAACATGTGAATCTGGTGTTTGATAAAGTACATCCTTACTTTACCAGAAGCAAAAGAACCACCCTGGGAACCCTTTCTACTGAAAGCACTGCTTGGTTTGATGGGAACACACTAGGCTGCCGCACCCCTCCTTGAGCTGTCAGAAGATGACCTTTTGTTTACTTTCATAACACTAGGCAAGAACCACACTTCCTAAAACAAGAAAGGAAAGTGTCTTTCAGGGATGATTTTTAACACTCCTGTGGAACTACAGAAACCAAACAATAAGCTTCTCACATTTCTACATTTGACATCAAGAACGTGCAGACATATTCCTAAACATACACAGCCCATATCTCAACCTGGTTCTTTTAGTTTATCAGACATCAATAGATGTTCTTCTATACCCACGCTTCATCAGGAAGCCTAATAGATATTCAAGACAATTTGTGGGAATAGTCCATACTAAGCTTTTAGATGACCTGATCTGAAATGATAAAGATTTTCAAATCTGATCACAGCACCATTTATGCAAAAAAAATAAAAATAAAATCCGCCCTCTCTTCCTAGGCAGAAAAAAAGTATGAGAGAATCTGTGAAAGTAGTGTTTTTCTCTTGTTAAATGAGAACGCAGTTTAAGTTCCTTTTATGTGCAACAGCTCTATCAAAACAGTAATCATCCATTCATTTCTGAAGCTATCTTTGTTCCCATATCCACCATAAACACATCATGCAATAAGAACAAAATTTTCTCTGTGACTTACCTTAATTCTTTTGCAGAATGCTGCATTAGAGAAACAGAAGCAAGAAAAAATGTTGATCACCTTGCCATTAAAACACATAGCTCAGTTCTAAAAAGTTCTACCCATGCAGGATTACTGGCTGCATCTTTATACAACACTTGGCTCCTGTTGAAGCATTGTAGGTGTACTCTACAGTGCCATCGAGTTACCACTCCATTTGCAGGCTGGGACAGGTAATAAACATCAGCTACTGAGATATTCACCTCAGACCTCTACCCCTTACTGCTTGGAGAAATTTAAACCTGTTGTTTCCTAACATCTGCACACTTGCATATATTGACAGAGTACAGGTATCAATCTGGTTTTTGGGTTATTTTAAAGATAAAATCTATTTCATGCAACTGTAAGCAACACATCAACAACAGATTTTTTACATTAAAACTTCATTACATTAGTTGATAAGTACAGTCAGTGGAGCACAGCCAGCCTTTCTTTTCATCCACAAAATAGATCAGAATCCTGTTTATTTCACCACAGTGGCATTGGTGCATTAGTGCATTAGTGGAATGGGCAGACGATACTGTGGGACGCAGCAAGATATGAATTTGCAGCAAGCAAACAGCTTCATGGTACTGACCAGGCATAAGCTTTCACCTCAAAGGTAATCTGAGCAGTCACAGGGGATGATTCTTCTGAGTGTATGCTAGTTTCATGTAGTGCTTTTTTGAATTAAAAAAAAAAATTAATGAATATCCTCAGATTTCTGTTAACTTCTTAAACGCAATGCTGAAATGTGTATACAGTGTTGATGACTAAGACCCTTTGAAGGCATCAAAATGATGAGACACTGCTATTGGAATCCAGTTGTTCACTCCAGCAAGTCCAGATTTCCCTGGGAGACTCAAGAACATACAAGCACATGTCTCAAGTGATGCTGTGTTCACTTGAGATCAGTATCGAACACTTGAACTTCTCCCACTTCCTTTAAAAAGATCTCTCTCAAGCTTCCAGAGGCTGAACAGCTAACAGAGTGGTGCATATTTTCCTGTGATGGCCATCAGATCTCCCTCCAGGTCTAGTCAGCCATACTACTAGGTACCAATTCAATCCCAAGTGGTATAGAAGAAATTGTATTATAACACAGTTTTAGAGGTATACGCCAGAGGAGGGTGGTTTGGAGCGTGATACCTCTGAGGACTTGTAATACTAGACATGCAACAGTCTTCTTGATTATATAACTTAAGCCACACAATGAAGACCTCTTCTGTAAGCTTGTCCATATATATCATGTGTTGTTTAGATAATTTACAAAATTCTCTCACATCAGAGCAAAACAACATTATTTATAGTTTTAAAGGCTTACAACTTCTCAAATCTGACCATAACACAGTGTCACTGCCAAATGATAAAACTTACAGAAAAGGAGAGGTAAAATCCTGATTTTTGTGTCAATGCTGTCTTTTTAAAGCCATCTGGATGCCAAGTTCAAAACTAAATTCACTGACTGACCATAATGTTTATTCTCAGATATGCCACCAATACTTAGTATGAGGGGAGAGGAACCCTGGCTATTGAACTCTTGCTTTGCAGCCATGCATTTCTACATTCACCAACATGAAAAGATCACAGAGCTGCCCAGTTCCTCTATTCTCACCTACTTGCACGATGCAGCAATGTCACAGTACTAATATTAAACACACAAGATGGCTCAAAGTTTTTCCTTGAGGTGCCTGCACCATCCCATCCCATTTCATCCCATGGCAGCTAAGATTTCTAAGCAGACCTAGTCTAGGCTATTAGGGTGGGCAATCTGCACAGGCCTGGGATTCAAGTCAAGATTTCACAGCAGCTGCAGCAGAAGTACAGTATACACTTCACTGGTAAGTACATGCTCTAGGATAGCCAAATAGGTGCTATGCCAGAAAGAAAGAGACATTAATGCTCTGCACAAGAACCTTAAAAGGATTTAGTTGTTTCAGCCTTTCCAGAAATGCCAGCATCTCAATATTTTAACCCACTAAGTGCACACCAGCTTCATTCCCTCCTGCCCCCCAAATAAATTCAAGTCAAAATGTCTAGTTCATGTCCCACACAAAGTTCCAAAGCTGCATGGAGCCCATGGACAAGTTAGAAGGCACTTCCCTCATTTCTAGGCCTCAGACAGTTTATAAGAATTGCAATCATAGTTTGGGCAAAAATATTAAAAATTTGGTACGTTTGAATAAAATTAACACAAGCATCTATTTGTCAGTGCATGGCACTGAATGCTGCTTAATAACTCCTGCATTTATTTCAATAACATATGGCTGACCTTTCAGTAACCTTAGAAAGTTTTTTAACTTCAGTGTAAACATCTTCAAGGGAGGGAGAAATCCCCATATTCCTTTGCAATCTCTTTGAACAACTGAATAACCTCACACTAAGCTGTGCTGTTAGCAAAGCCAACGCTTTTAAACACAGTATTTTTGTGAACCAGAAAAGCACTACACAGCTAAAGCAGGAATAAAGAACATGATCAATGATTCACTGAAGTTAGCAGATGGGACTCAATATCCACAAAACAGTTGAATCACTAGGTGTCATTTTTGCACTGTCACTTTGTTAGAGTATAACTGTACTTTAATTGCATTTTAAATTCTTCCTGAAAAAAGTGTATTCTTATTCTGCTCACAACTAGATGCCAGCATTTAAGGACTGATTTTAGAGAAGTACACAGAGCATACCCATATTACACCACAGATACCTCAAGAAGCACTGAACAAGAATTATTATTTCTAGGTATTGTCAACACCTTTGCCGAGGATGACACGTGCAGTTAAATCACGAAAGAAACCGCACAAATCCCTTCCCCCCTGAGGGGGTTGAAGCAATGTCACTGCCACCAGTCTCGGCTTTGTTTGAGAGGGCAAAGAATGGAAGTGGAGGGGAGGATAAAGTTACTGAAATGCTTGGGGAAGGTAAGCGTCCACATCTTATTGCTTCAGCTGTCACTGACTTTGTCAGTTAGCGATCCAGCACAGAACAACTAAAAACGAACCAGTGTTGTACTGGGGTCCACTCAAAGTACGTGAGTAGTGGCGGATATTACCTTCGATGCCAGTGACAACACAGAGACACCAACTTAAGTACAATCTCCAAGACAAATGGAGGAGGGTGGCTACTCTCTCGGAGGCCCCCAAGGGCTTTGCTGCCAGCTGATGCACTCCCCAAGGGAGCTTCTACAGCTCCCCATGGGAAAAACTGTTCTCTATGGAAAACTGCAGCATTTCCACATTAGGATCTTTTCCGTTTAACAAGTAACAAAGCTATTAAGGAAGACTGTGTGGAGACTTGGTTCTTGTATGTTTTGTACACCCACAGTGATCAGGTTTTTTCCTCCACTGAAGGAGATCCAGCAGAGACTGAGTAATTGAAGCGCAGATGGCAGCAAGACAAGACTGTTGTGACACAGGCTGGATGAGATGTAGCAGTGTGGGAATGCAGCCTAGCTAGATCTGCAGAGTGATCGAGTTACCAGCAAAAGTACTTCTAAATCAATGCAGCATTGGTAATCAGGAAGGCATTTTATACAGCTTTGCCTGGCAGAAAGGTGCAGTCTTGTCTTGCTAATAAGACACGCAGCAGATATCTACTCATTTTTCAGACAAGCGGGTATTTGCTGCATCATCTCTGCCTTCATCCCTTTCAAATGAGATTACAGAAATGTGATATACATGGAGCTAGTTTATATTTATTTGTAAGCTGCAAATAGCATAGAAAGTTGTCAACTCTTAAAAAAGGAGAAGAGGATTCTGATATTGAACCAATGAAAACTGCTTGTGAACGTGTACTGGTCTAAAGTGACCTCCACATTAAAAATTTTCATGTTGGTTTCGACATGAAGAATCCTGTATGATCTGTGAGCACACAGCACCAGCTCCCTCTCCCATCATAATTTTCATCAGACAAAATGTGCAAATATGTGTTTCAAAGTACATACTTTCTACTGGAAGTGATGGAATCACCATTCCTGGAAGTGTTCAAAAATCGTGTAGATGAGGCCCTCAGTGTTATGGTTTAGTGGTAGAACTGGCAGTGCTGGGGTAAAGATTGGACTTAATGATCTTAAAGGTCTTTTCCAACCTAGTTGATTCTGATTCTATTTTCAAGTCAACAACTAAAAAATGAAACACTTCAGTGTTTCAATAAATTAAAAAAGTCATCTTTTGTTGCCTTTAACACCCTCAAAACGTCAATTGGAAGGTGCAATTCATGGCCATGTTACCTGTTCTTCTCCCTTCTCACAGAACTCCTTCATGAATAGCACTTCCTATAACAAAGATTCTTATAGAAACCACATTTTAAAACCTACCAATTTCAACTGAATTTGACCAAGATCCCAAACTGATTTTAACATAAGGATACCTTGACAATGAGTCAGTAGAAGAGCTCAGAGAACTGCAAGGAGGCCGCTTCTCAGCAGCCACGTACCATTCCAAAGAAGCCTGGTCTGTCCTCAGGTACATGAAGCTCTGGGTACACATTCTCCAAGAACCATTTGAAGTCCTTACATTTCAGCTTCTCTCGAAGGAGTCTCCTTTCTGTCACATCTCCATATGGTTCCTGAAAGAAAAAAAAGAAAAAGAAGAAAACGATTAAAAATAACCCCAACCAGAACAGATGCTCTCTTTTAAATTATCTCTATACATTATTAGGAACCGTATGCTAAAGTGATGAGTAGGACTTTTAGCCAGGAAAAATCCCCATGTTTGGGTGCTGGATTTGATTTCATTATCCTTACATTTGTTAAATGTTGACAAAAAAGAATTGGAACAGTGCACATAAAGCTTTTAAAATATTCTAGAGGACAGTTTGTCTGAGAAAACTCCTCAAATCTGCAAGTAAGGAAGTCCTTGAATACAGATTTCTGGGAACTGAGATGATGTATTTGAAAATAAAACTCCCTTTAGCTGGGTAATTGAAAATCTCAAAAGCAGTGAATGAATCTTGAGAATTTTAAACTATTACACCATCCATTTGCAAATTACCTGTACCGACAGTTTTACAATTAACTGATGAAATTTATAAAATCTGCTAATGTTTCCTTAGAACTTCATGGTTTTGGTGGGCGGGGAGTATGAAGTCTTAAAACTCCAGAGAAAAGCTTTCAATGGCAGACCTTTCACTGTCTACAGATTGGATCAGAGTTCACATCTTTTCACGTCTGTCTTCAAAAATCTGTCTTCATATTCACTAGGGACTTCAGACAGTCAGGCATGAGATACTGTTTGCAGCCCCCAGATTTTTATAGGTCATTTGATACACTCGTTCATCAAACCACATATATATTTGCATTTCTCAAAGATGTGAAAATATCAGTGGAAACACACTGGAAACAAAAAATAAACAAAGAGCATGACGTATTAGCTCTGAGGTCTGAACATTAATCTTGAAGCAAAACTTTATGGAACCAAATTCTGCAGCCATAGCATCAATCATTTTTTCATTATGCCGTGGAACTGACTATTTGGATTAGATGAAGTAAAAGGGTCTGAACTCAACCACTGCAACAATTGGTGCATAGAGTATTATGGAAACCAGAGTGCATCACTGGCAGCTTTTGATATGTGCAAAAAAACCCACACTAGTCTCAGCTCCCATACACAGTGTTACAAGAAGCCAATATGCATAATTTCCAATACTAAGACACAAATATCCTTTAAAGTTCTGTCATCGCAGACATTAGATGCCCAGAACTTTACAAGAAAAACTGTCAGCGTTTATTGCTGTTTTCTCATTGTACGTGACAAGCAGAATCAGGCTGGCATTGCCTGTGAGCTCCTGTCTTCAGATATACAAACCCCATATTTCTCATAGAGTCAGACACTAATAATAAAACCTAAATGGCTTTTATGATGTTAAAGTAAAACAATTATTACAAATGCATGGACTATAATAATCTAATTACCCAGTTTAATCCAAAGGAACACAAGACAGAAGCTAACCAAATCCAGCTTCCCCAGTGTCCTCCAGCACATCATTTAAAAGCCTAATGGTTTCAAAAGCATTTTTTCCCCCCAGCACATCTATTGGGGTAGACCACCCAAACATGTGGGGGGCTCCCTGTACTCCTGTCTGGTCCCTAAGCTCTGCTCCATCACAGACAGAGGTGGGTGCCCAGTAGCCCACCCATTGCTGGGCAGTTCGTCCCATGCACAAAACCAGAAAGCAAGAAGTGCCCGGGGAGATTAAGCACCTCCAGAAAAAAGGAACAGCAGAGAATTATTTCTTTTAGGCCTGAATTTTGAACTCTGTGCCAGAGGTTCATTTAAGTCATTTCTAGACATTGTGAGGATATTTTCATGTTATCATCTTCCAGCCTACAGGCCACTCATGATAAATACATCATAGCTATGAATTTACACACTGCTTTACTGTTTTGACCTACTCAATTTTCATAGTATTTATGTCCTGAAAAATTTTGCATAGAAACGATCTTGTATTTTCTTCCTCATAGACAATAAAAATATTAACTTAAAAAAAAAACCAAACCAAAAAAAACCCCACAAAACCAAAACCAACAGAACTGATACTTCAGACATTTTATTAGGGACATGTTCATCTGAGTTCCCAGGACTGACTTTAATTAATTTAATCTTTGCAATATTGATTTTATTGGGATTTTTTTTTAAATTAAACATCGTGCAGCAGTAAATCAAAAAGGAAAATCCATTTTGTCTTATATCAGTCCAAAGTTTTACAATTATCACAAGTAATACTGCTGAAGATTATTACCATGCTGTTCACTTAAAGATCTACTGTTCATTCACACTTGATGATTAACGTTCATTAATTGTGTCTCTTCTGTAATTCTTTATTGATAGACTCCTGTATGAGCTGTTTCACAGAAGTGCACATTTTAGACTAAACAGCTCCACCTTACCTGGGTCACCTTGCTTAACTTTATTCCTTCACTTGTTCATTCATTCATCTAATATTGACACAGTTTTGGCTGCCTTCTAGGCTTACAGAATTTCCGCCTTTTTTCTATATTGCTATACATACACTTACTTTATACTTGGGAAAAAGTTTCAGAAGAAGTAAGAACCAAACATAACAAGCACTTAATGTTAAATATTAGCTTAATTGTTATTTCACTGAAAACAAATTCTACTGACATTCTAAGGACAAGGAACTTGACTCACCAGATGAGCATGTGGGTTTCGGTGGTAATAAAGTTCTTTATATTCATCCATCCACACTTCAGCTGCACGCACACTGTTTGCCAGAGCTTTGGACCGTGAGTATGGAGCTTGCTTGGGGAAAACATGACCTACATGGGAGCACGGGTGGATCTCGAGACTTCCTCCACACTGCCATATCTGAGCAAAGAATTGACATTGTGCATCGTTACTTTGAATCTTCACAAGCAGAACGATAAAGTAACAATAAGCCTTTGTAAGGATAACACCCCAAGAATATCACAGCATATTATAAGCAACACAGACAATAATTTTGTGTCTCATTTGATGAATAATCTGGATAAAATCACATCCTTGTGAACTCAGAGCAAATCACTGGGAGTAACGAGGAGATAAATCCATCTCTGGTTTTATAGGGGGTTCAATTATTGCTTTCTTAGCTTTATTTTCTCTGAAGGCATGGTAAGAAATGGTCCACAATATTTCTGCAGGTCTGTGGTCTACAATTCAAGTTACACAGGCCTTATTTAAACAAACAAGCAAACAAACAAAGAACAGGAAAAAGGTGAGAGGCAGGATTCTTGTCCAAATCAACCATGTAAATAGCAGCCTTAGAAAGAAACTGATGACCAGTAACTGATTTCTTGCCAGAAAGAAACTGATGACCAGTAACTGATTTCTTGCCAGAAAGAAACTGATGACCAGTAACTGATTTCTTGCCAGAAATCTCCACCCATATTCTACTGGGAAAACAGGGTAAGGTTGTCATAGCATTGGAGAATGGTAAGTTGTGTTCCCATTTCTACGTGCGCTATTCAGAAGAGAGGCATAGGTACCTGGTCATAAAATAAAACTAACCTTTTCCATTGGAAAGCTGGGAAAGGAAACCAAGACCTAACACATGAAGAGAAAAAGCCCCAAATTCTTTAACTAATTCATGGTGGTCCAACCAGCAATAGTGTAACAACCTCCCCTATTTAAAGCAATATTCCTACTTGCTGTCAAGGAAAATACTTGAACCTGAATGGGGAATTGGCAGAACTTGCTCTGTCCTTGTCCTCATCCTCATGCCTCTGGCTCCAAAGGTCAAGGAAATTGTACAAAAAGCCCATAAATGACCACTGAGTGAATACATTAGCCTCAGCACTCTACAAATTTTTGTAATTATACTCTTCTCTCTTCAAAGCCACAGATTTTTGGCAGTTCATTTATACACCTATACTTTCCCATCAGCCATTCTGATCTCAAGGTTGATGTAAGGAAAGGAAAGCACAGCTAGGTATTTCCTATGTAATACCATGTGCGATCACAATGCGGCAAACACCTTGTTTCTGAAGGCTGCCCGAAACACGGTTTCTGACATTTAGTCAGATGGGAGGAAAGGCAGGACATGTCACTACTCTTGAACAAACCATCACCAGTAGCTTCAACAGACTTTCCATAGCAGATTTTTGAGAAGTGGCACTTCCAGCAAGCTAATTCAACTTGTGTATTCAACCATGCATAAGTGGCACCTCATCTTTACTTTGTAGCTGGAGGACAAAGGAAATTAGCTGGGATATGGTTAAAGGGTAGAGGTTTGACAACCTTCTTGTATAATGCATACATTTTTAATTACATGTTATTCAAATAAACACAGTGAGAATGAAAGCTATGAGGAGAAGCTATAAAACTTCTCTACCTAACAATGACAAGAGATGAGTGATAGGACTTTTCTCTCCCACAACTTTCAGGGATCTAGAAAGTCACTACAAATGAAGGCACTTTTTAAGTTACTCATGATTTCTCTCCAATTGCTTAATTTAGAAATCAGCTAACATCTCCACTGATTTGGTTTGGATAATGACATCATAACTTCACGCGTGACACAATACTGTGGCTTAACTACAAAACTGTAACCACTCTAATACATCTATTTACTTTTTAAACAAACCACTTCCTTAAAAGTATAGGAAAATTCTTTATTCAACTCTAGAGATCACTGGATAATCTTTACTTCCTGGATTTAAAATTTTAATTTCTTGCTTTTCAGGTAAGGTTTCTCTCTTCTTTTTTTGATGCTTTTTAGGGAAACAGTGTATTTGTCATTTGAACTGGAAGATGATTAAAGGAGTTATACAAGAAATACAGATTTGTGTATTGTTCTTCTAAACAATCTGCATATTGTCACATGTAAGTTAAACTACTACCATTTTGAAAGATGATATGAAACCAGCTATCTACTTCCACTTTAAGACCTCCTTTTTTGAGATTTGTTTCAAAATAATAGCTTTCTTACATTATTATTTCTATACCCAATGTTACTTCATTTGGAGTTGAAATTTATCACGCAAGGATATGAGGAACAGAAAGACCATGAAGATTGCCAAAGTAAAAATGTAAGTTAAGAAAGCACATTCTTCTACTCTTCTGTGATAAAGTCTGATTTAAATGGAGTAATACAGGCTAACCATACCCCTGTTAAATTGCTGGCAAGAAGAGAATTCCACAACAGCTGAATTTTCATTAATTAAAATTCTAAATTTCTCTACAATATAACTGTAGGTTGCTAAGCAATGCTTATTTAATTCTGCTTCTTTCATTAAAACAGTTCAAGACCACTCATCTTCCTATTACCAAAAAAAAAAAACAACCCAAGAAAAAACAAACAAACAAAAAAACCCCACACCCCAAAACACTACATCTCTTTCAGCTAAATAATTCCTATAAAGGTTTACTTTTATTTTAATGGAAAACATTTGGCCTCTATCTAAGATCAGGTACAAATTAACAGCCTTAAAATAAAGCAAGGAATTCAATAGAGAAACTAAAGTTGATCACTAAACGCTAAGTAAGTGACTCTAAAGAAGATTCTCCCCTAAAACGATTTCAATCTTCTGTAACAGAGAAGCACATTAGATTTCATGTATACTTGCATGCTCATGTGCATGCAAATGTGTTTCTTTACTAGGTCTGGCTACCTTGCAGCTCTCATTGTAAAAGTGTACTTTTTTGTCTTCACAGTAACAAGAAATCAAGGTGACATTCCTTTTTACTTTCACTTTCATCTGAATGCATTCCAACTATTGATGTTTTTTCTTTTCAGAGACAGACGGTGGCATTATGAAAAGCTACATTCAGTGTTCAGGTCTCGCCTTGGGATCCCCATCTCTGCTGCAATTTGGCTGGCTGGCTGCTGGCTGATCCCTGCTGGGCATAGTGCTCACACCTGATCTGCTGGGAGCTGGGTGGGCAGAGGGGCCTCCCCAGCCACTCAAACCCATCCTGGATGCTCCCACCACAAGACAGATTTCCAGATCCAGACAGAAGGAAGCAGAACCAAAATACCAGAAAAAAGATGACCTGAGGCAACTGGAAGCATATGATCCAGGCTCATGGGCTATGAAATTTACTTATCAGTAAATAACTTTCTCTTTTTGCACATGCATGGTTTTCTCTCATGCTGTGATGGTGGGTTGAAGGACAGACCACAGGGGTATCAAGTGTCTGTCCCCAGAAACAAACTTACATTGCAGTCATTACAGTAACACTAGCAGCAATAAAAGCAGAGTGGGAGAACCTGGTTGCAGCTTTCCCCCCACACACTCCATGTACAGGAGGGAAAAGATGAAAGGGCATGTTTTGCATCCCTCAGAAGGAGACATTTCAATGCCCATTATGCTCATGAAGTGAAATTTTATCTAGCCTAATAGCATTAAGCAATCCGAAATCAAGGCACATTGACTTGATCCTGCATTCAGCAAGCAGCTTCCATCTCTCTTAGTCATCATGCTTTTAGCTGAAGCTGTGTCCTTGTTGCACCTCTCAAAACCACAGAGAATTTCTTCAGTTTAGAATAACTGAAGTATGAGACGGAGAGGCTTGAGGAAAAGTCCTTTCATATCATCAGGAGAGGGTGGTGTTCTCAGAGACATGAAGAACAATAATTTACAGTGGTTTTTAGTACACCTGCTCCTAATTTTCAGGTCTGGTAGGTCTAGAAACAACAGAATTAACACTGATTTATCCCTCTTGACCTTCTTGAGCACTGTGAGCAGCCAGAAGAATGCAATTAAGCAACACCACTGCATTCTGCTCTCTTCCACCAAAATCCTCACTGCAGGAAGTGCAAGTACAGGGGCTCTCTATCAAACAGAAGGTGGCATGCTGTGTACAATGCCCACATTCTACTGGCAACCTGCACTACTAGAATTAAGACACCCAGGCACGTTCACTGGCCATTGCATTGCAAAAGTCTTGGCCTCTTAGAAGAGTAGCTCGATGCGCCTGCAGCTTGCAGGCACCCCACACCAGTCTCTCAACTTCCTTGTTTGAGCACTTCTCCCAGCCCTCACGAGCCATCTTCCCACTCTCAGCCTGGTGCACAGCACACTGCATGCCTGTGGAGGCTGGAGGACTGTCCTGAGACCCCGGGCTGGAGCACCCATGTGCCATGTGGTCAGCCCCTGTGGGGCATGACAGCGTGCTTATGCACACCTCACAGTGTGCTGGGGACTCTGCTGCTGCTCTTTTTGTGCCTGTCCTGCACAGCAGGCAGGCTCACAAGAAGACCACATTTCTCCATGCTGAAGGAGTAAAGGCACTGGTCATACATGCTGCTCTCCCCAAAGGGTCAGACATCTGGTTCAGGGGAACCAGTGACATCAAAAATGAGACTTGCTGTCCGAGCCTGGTAGAGGTCAATGGATAATGGTAGCTTAGGTCTAAAGCAGCAGCCAGTGGAGGGGCACTCCATGTCATACAGGGCAGGGTCAGACTTGTCCTGTCTGCAAGCCTTGGTCTCCCAAAAAGCAGAAAGCCAAGAACTCGATGCAGAGAGGGCCATCTTCAAGGCTTTCTACAAGAAGCTGTAGAAAGCTCCTTGCAAAAAACGACCTTTCCATCCACCCATCCCAGCGGAGAACCACTGCCATCTGGAGCAGTGCTACCCTAACCCCTCCTGGTTCACAGAAGACTGCAGGCTTTTCAGAAACGTGAAGCAGATCTTGTGATGCCTAATTCTATCAACTGTGGCTGTTGTTGTTTCCAAGCTTGCTGCTTTGGGAGAAATTTCTGCATTGGTGCACATTTCTGCTGAGGCAGAACATGTATGCATCTATGATTCTATGTAGTACCACTTTCAAAAGCAGCATCCTCTCCACCTCATGGGTGCTTGGTCTGTTTGCACCTGCAATAGCAGACACAAACGAGAGCCTGAAAGAGCCAGTCTTGCTCAGGAGGTGCACACATCCAACATGCTTGCTCCTGTTATGCTATATTTGTGGGAGATAACATCATGCTTTCTGAGGTAGGTTGCTGCTAAACTGGCAGTCTCCTGTCTCTGTTTAGTTTTCTACTACAGGGTGTCATACCTGAGAAACCAGAGAAACACAGCAAGCCCCAGGTCAGTAAGCATCTGTACCCAAATGTGTGACTCCCTCATTGTCATCACCCCTTCCAGTCCTTCAGTAAGCAAGAAAAACAGGGATGGCATGCACCGCCAGGCTGCTTTCCAGCTTAACCTACCGTGGGTTGCGACTGATGATGAGCACAGCTTCTTTGGGCTCCCAAGTATGAGACTGATCTATTGCTACTCCTGGCTCCCTGAGCAGCCTCTCAAAAGGAGGCATAACAATAATTTAATCAAGAGCTATTTCACAGATCCTGACCCTGTGACTGAGAAAATATCCCACAAAAAAGAAATCCCTTCCAGTAGAAAGAGGGGACCCGCTGCAACAAACACATCAATGCAGGCTACACCAGAACTGGGGATAGCTGGGTGACTCCTGATTCAGAAGGTCACAGACCCAACGGAGCTGGATACGCTGTGCATTTGGACTTACAGGCCAGAAACACTTCCCTATGTGAGAAAGGAGGTGGTCATAAATTCAGATCAAACAGCAATTCCATCTGAGAAACACCCCTTCAGACAGAAGCCATGTCAACTCTAGGTCTGTGCTTATCCTCCTTTATCCTTTTCTTTCCTTATTTTTGTGCCCTCTTTGCTCAGATTTCTATACTACAGGCAGCAGGAGACAGGAACAGCAGCCAGGAAGACTCCATGCTTCTCTAGTTAACAGGCAGACATCAAGTGAGACAGCCTGCTGATGCCTCCTTTCTCAAGAAAGTGGGTTTGTAACATTAAAATACTATATTTTGCTCTGAAATCTGGTGTCACCTGGTAAAAAACCAAAACAAAGAGATGAACCTGCCTCACCCCTGAGCACGGGTCCACCCTCCAGTGGGGTACAGCTCTACAGTTCCTGGAGATTTTCCCCATCACCTTTTGTAGCCTTTATACAAACCTTTCCTGAAGCGAAAGAGAAAAATGCCTTAAAGAAGTGCAGGGACTGGCTTGTCCTGCCCCACTGGTAACTGCCACCCGCTGCCTCCTGCTCACTCCCATCAATCACAGTGAGAGTCACGAGTCACATTAGAGAATTATACACATTTCTTTCCAATGATCCTCTTCAAGCCACAGAATGTAAACTACATCTGCTAATACCACACAACTACTTACATCTTATGCTGGTGTTCAAAACAAAGACATGTTTTTAAAAATTGTTTTTAAATGGCTATTGGGAAGGAAAAACAGCTACAAAATGTGGGAACAAGGAAAAGATTCATATAAGTATCTCCCAAAATACTCTCTTCTTAACACTTGCTTACATTACAGCTATCTCACGAAGTAAAAAGAGCGTGAAGAAAGAAATAAGAAGCTCGAGTTTATTCTCAGGGGGGAAAAAAAAAAAAACAAACCACCAAACCCACAACAAAACCTTTCAGTTGAGCCACTTACCCTGAATGAGAATTCAAGGTTTTCTCCTCCCCAGACTTCCATTCCTGTGTCATATGAACCAAGATAATCAAAGTACTTCTTGCTCACAGAAAATAATCCACCTGCCATGGTTGGAGACCTACAAAAGAGAATAGTAACTCTGAATAGAATAGAAAAGCAAAACAATTAACAAACCAATGCAACAGACAAAAAATACAGTATATTTTTATTTTCCATTTTCTCAGTCTTTGCTGGACACAAAGTAACTATGATCAGCTATCAATAGGTTACCATTAGGCCATTTAAATTTAATTTTGCGGTAAAAAATTTTATCTGAAACAATGAAATCAGAGAAGATAAACACTGTGTTAATACGAATTTTTGCAATCCCAGTGTCTTTGTGAGTGACAATTAATGACTAGTCTCTTCACTTCACATAGTAGAACATAAACTTTTTTTGTGGCAGAATTGTACGAGTCAGGTCTGAAATTCTAAGTGCAATATCCTTATATATTCTACTTAAGTGATAAGTAAACAAATATTTGTGCTTTAGTAACTAGTAACAACTTTCTTGATCCCATTAACATCAAGTAGAAAACCTCTTAGACATCAATTAAGCAGAATTAAGTAAATATAATCCCTAAAGAGATTTTTCTTTCTTTCTAAGAAGATCTGCCCATCTGTATTGTTTTGTTCTGGGGAGGGGAAAAAAGAAAAAAAATCAGGAGTCAAGACCAGGTTCTCATCAGACATCAAAAAGCCCAGAGCAACAGCATACTTAAGGGATATGCTTTCAATAGGGTAGTATGTGCATATATACATAAACTTGTATTTGTTCAGTATTGTCCCTAATTGTTTGCAGTCTTAGAAAATTACCCTCTTTAATGTGTCAAGCATATACTGCTGGTTGGAACTAAATTCATCTGACACTTTATGCATTTTACTGAATTGCTGTTGAGGTAAATATTAACAAATTCTAGGTGCAGTGATCAGTTACTCTTAATCTGTCAAAACTAATTTTACCAGCCAACTTTTTGAAGCAACACTGTCTTACACTGTCATATGTTGTTCCAAAGAATGGAATGAGATGAGGTGAGACAGAAGGAAAAAACCCAAACTCCATAACCAGTGAAGCTCTTCTGCCTCACTCCAGATCCCATCTTTCCAAACATACCTGTCCGTGACACCACTCTCAGCACTGCTTCTTTCTCCAGACACTTGCTGAGCTCACACTCCTTGGGCTAACCATGAAGATGTATCCCTCATCCTTTTCCCCTTGGCATGTCAAAGATAATTCTTCTTGTCACGGAGAATAAAAGCATCATATTTATACCAAAGGCTTTAAAAACATTTACTCTATTTGGAAACTTTTTTTAAGGAGCATGTAGACTAATATATGCTGAGGAGAATTAAATTACTGCCTCACTTTTCCAACTGAAAAAAAAAACCTCAGTTGAGGATAATTTCATTAGTATTTGTGAAAGTTTATTATCACAGTCAACCCAGAGAAGACTGAGAAAAATTAATCATTCTGTATTTGTTGTAGTCCATAAGATTATTATAAATAAAAGCAAGGACTAACAAAATCATGATGTTAAAAATGCCAAACACCTGCTTAATTTCTTAGAATACACTGCTGAATACAGCAATCCTCAGCTATCAGGATTTTGTCTACAGTGCACATTTTCCAGATGCATTGTTTGTACTCTTACCTTACCTCTCCTAAAAAGACAGCATGGATTGACAAATGATATTGACTGACTACAACTTGTCTTCAAACAAAACTAAAACCCACAAAAAAGACATCTGTGTGAGCTCCTGGGCCCTTCATAGACACAATGGTGGGTAGAACTGTATCATTTGATCTCGATAAAGAACTGGCAAGCTAGTTCACCTTTGAAAAGAGCTCAAGGAACTGCCACTATTACTACAGCACAGATAAAGTCTTCAAAACTACTTTTGCCTCCTTACTAGTTGATGAGTTTTGTCTCTTTTCATCATCGCCCACGATACATTTTTTACAAAAATCGGTCTCTTTGCTTTCCACAGGGAACATCCTTCAGTATTAGTTAGTATGTTACAACCTTTCCCCATCGGAGTTTGTCTGCAGGAGCCAAGAGGCTACTTGTGCAATAAGGATTCTATATGGAAGATTGCAGAGGAATTTCAGCTTTCAGAGAAATATTTTTCCAGAAGCATGGTAAGCAGGAGCTATTTTGGGGAAGAAAAGAAAAAAAAAAGGGAAAAGGGGGAGGGAACTAAAAATATGTCATTTTTAGTAATATGCTCATTTCTCAAACATTTTTCAGCACCTGACATTTCCAAGTGAAATCAAGAACACTTGCGACATTCAGCGTCATAAGATGTATAAAAATCAACCTGATCACATCGGTCTTGGACTTCCTCTGCTTCTGTTCTCTTTCAGGGATACTATGCCAAGTGAAGACCAGCCTCCAGTCAAATCCACCAATCTGTGGCTCACCAGCATTTCCCAAGTACTCAAATGTATTCCAGTCAATAACATCAATAACAGGGCAGACGACAGCCGATTCTTCCTCCGCAATCCTAGTATGGTTTTAAAAGAAAAGAGTGACTTCCATTAGAAACTTATCTCAAAAATTCTACCTGTCAAGAACAGAGAACACTTAAATACCAAACAGGAAGTTTTAACTCCTTTACAGTTCATGCTGCAATACAAGGAAATAATGGCTACCAGAATAACCACCAATTTCTTGCTGAGGATGCATCAGGATGGACTCAGCTGTAGGCACCTGGCAAGCATCAATCTTCCTGGACAGTGGAAGCAAGGTATGCCAGATGGCTTGAGATAACACATTCAGCATCTGGCTTGGCTGCCACTGCCAGCACCACATTCTCGACAAAAATGTCTATTTTGTTTTGTACAGGCAGCTGCGATTAAGATATTAAGAGAGCAGCATGATTGTATAGTTCTGCAAGGATGAACAGTTAGCTAGCCTCTTGGCCATTAAAGTCATGGCTGTTCTTGTAGCTGTGATCATCTGCAAAAAGTTATACTGAACACTACAACAGTAACACAAAAAGAAGCCATGAGCTTAAACAAAAAGCCACGCAACATGGGAATTAGATCTCCAACAGTGAAACATATATGAAGGACACCTCCAGAGACCCTGGCAACATACGTGATAAAAAGGAGAAACAAGATAGTGCTGCACAATAACATACCTATCAGCAAGGCTGATCTAAAGATAATTAAGATCTTTATCACACTAAGGATACATCAAAGCTGGTAACATTTCCTGCAGGCCTACTTGTGCAAGGACATAAACCCCTTCCTCCCATTTCTCAACACCATGCAGGGTTTTCTGGATTCCTTTCCAAAAGCATTTGCCCTTACAAAACCAGTGGGATCCTTTGCTTTCACCTCAACCTCTAGGAAGGCCGCCCCCAATAGTAGGAGAGATCAACTTCACGCACGCAAGCTCAAACTAAGTTCTCCTAAATCACT